AGTTTGAGATGCTTTCTTTTCAACCAAAATAGTTCTGTGTTTGTTTTGGAGAGTTGTTTTTCTTGGGAGGCAATTGCCTTTTCTAACAAGGATTGTAGGGCAGAGAAGATTTAAGACATCAAGGATTAAGTAGTAGCAGGGAGCAAGTAAAGTAGAAGAGGTTTGCAGTTTCTCTTAATTATTTTGTTACTATACAGAATATCAGATAAGACTATGCACTTATGTATGAACAAAAATGACATTCTATGGCCAAATATATTTTGGACTATTATTGGATAGGTTTTATATTATGTCTTACTTCACAATGACCAGATTATTTTAAATTTTTCTAATGTTTATTTATTTATTTTTGACGGGGGGCGGGGGGGGGGGGGAGAGAAGGAGGAAGGGAGGGAAGAGAGTGAGAGAGAGAACATGCACAAGCCGGGGAGGGGCAGAGAGAAAGGGAGACACAGAATCTGAAGCAGCCTCCAGGCTCCAAGCTGTCAGCAAAGAGCCTGATGCATGGCTCAAATGCATGAACCATATGACCATGACTTGTGCTGGAGTTGGATGCTTAACCAACTGAGCCACCTAGGCACCCCAGTCCAGATTATTTTTAAAAATGACTTTACTTCTAATACTAGATTGCGCTTTAAAACCAATATTTGATCCCTATAATGAAAAGCCCAAGTAATGCTAAGTATTACTTAGTGTGGAATCCAACTCAGGGCTCAATCCCACAACCCTGGGATTATGACCTGAGCTGAAATCAAGAGTCAGACGCTCAACCGACTGACCTGCCCAGGCACCCTGGCACTGCATTTCTTATGTTATCAGTCTCATGGTTTTCCTGAAACATAAACAAAAAAAATCTAAAAACTAAAATGGAGATAGAAAATTAATAGGGCAAATTGGAAATAATCCCCTCAAACTCAATTCATGTGGCTTTTGTGGAGGTATATAGACTACCACATGACATAGTAAATTCGGGGTATAAGTTTGATGTTGGACAAAAGAGAAAAACCAGTAATTATCACTTATTCATTTAGAAAGTATTTATTAAATGTCTGGGCGTGTCAAGAAATATACAAAGAGCAAAATATAGAACTATGCCTTCCCTATATAAACTAGTCTATTGGAGAAGAGAGATAATTAGTGATCTTTGCAAATATATTTCTATCAGCTATGGTAAAAGAAAAGAATAAACAAAATATTTTTAAAGGTTTAAAGACCTTGAATTTTATACAGGGTGATATTAAAAATACTTAACAACTGGTAATCCCACCAACCATTCAAAAGCTGGTCACACCAAACACTGGCTGAACTGGCCTTGGTTATATTAATACAGGGATTTCCACTGGAATGATAGTATAAAAACAGTTATTCTAAGTAAGTCTTTTTTTAAGTTGTTGGTGACAAGTATGAAGTTAGTTTTAAAATGTAAATAGGATATGAGAAAAACTCTGCTAGGTTTAAAATTTTGGTGTTTTTCACTTCTTAATTTTTAGCATATTTATAAAATTTTATTATTTTGTTTTTTGTTTTTGTTTTTTAAATTTTTTTTTAACATTTATTTATTTTTGAGACAGAGACAGAGCATGAACGGGGGAGGGTCAGAGAGAAAGGGAGACACAGAATCGGAAGCAGGCTCCAGGCTCTGAGCCATCATCAGCCCAGAGCCCGACCCGGGGCTCGAACTCACGGACCGTGAGATCGTGACCTGAGCTGAAGTCGGACGCTTAACCGACTGAGCCACCCAGGCACCCCAAAATTTTATTATTTTGAATAGGTAATACATTCATATGATTAAAAATATCAAAAGGTACAAAAGCCTATTCAACTAAAGGAGTCCCTTCCACCTTGTCCCAGACTCATCCTTCTCCCTAGGGGAAACCAATGTTGCCTCTTTTCTTGTGTATCCTTCCAGATATACTATGTATATAAGTTTTAAAAATGTACTTAGGCTAATAAATATCCTAGACAGGAGCTTGTAGACCAACACAAAAAAGAATTGGTGACCAACTAAAACAAATAAGAACATTAAGACATAGTATTTATGTTAGTCTTAGTGCAATGGACTGAATGTTTGTAGCTCTCCAAAATTCATAGGTTGAAACCTAACCTACAAGGTGATGGTACTAGGAGGTGGGGCCTATGGGAGGTGATTAGGTCATGAGGATAAAGCCTTCATGAATGAGATTAGTGTCCTTAAAAAGGAGACCCCAGAGAGTTCTCTCCCCACTCCTGCCATGTGACGCTACAGTGAAAAGAAGGCCATCTATGAATCAAAAAGTGGGATCTTCCCAGACTGAATCTGCCCATGCCTTGATCTTGGACTTCCCAGCCTCTAGAACTATGAGAAATAAGCTTCTGCTGTTTATATGCTACCCAATCTATGTAATTTGTTATAGCAGCCCAAACTTTCCTAAGAACTTTAGGCTGTTATAGCAGGCTAAAACTTTCCATTTTCCTTAGGAAAATGAGTTTCAGTAACTCATAGGAAAGGGCATCCTGTCCAGTTACATTCTAGTCAGAGATGCTCTCATAAGGAAAAAGTGTTAGCGTTATGCTTAAAAATGGGGTATTTCAAGTATATTACATATAATGAATTAGAGAAATCTAAGGATAGTTTTTTTTTTTTTTAACATTTATTTATTTTTGAGACAGAGAGAGAGAAAGCATGAACAGGGGAGGGTCAGGGAGACACAGAATCTGAAACAGGCTCCAGGCTATGAGCTGTCAGCACAGAGCCCGACGTGGGGCTCGAACCCACGGACCGCGAGATCCAGGCGCCCCGGATAGTTTTTTTTTTTTAAGTAATCCTAATTTATTTTCTAAACTGAGATATAATTCACATGCCATAAAATTCGGCATTTTAAGTTTACAAGTCAGTGGCTTTTAGTGTATTCAGAAGGTTGTGTAGTCAACACTACTATCTATTTCCAGAACACTTTTTTTTTTTTTTTTTTGAGCAGCAGGCAAAAGTTTAGCAGAGTATAAGATTAGAAAAGAAGAATAGTAGAAAAGCTCTCCTTATAGAGAGGGGATATTTGAAAGTGAATGCCCCTCTTTTCTTCTTAATGTGTATTTATTAATTTTGAGAGAGAGAGAAAGAGTGAGCACATGCAGAGGAGGGGCAGAGAGAGAGGGAAAGAGGATCCTAAGCAGGCTCTGCTATCAGTGGCAGAGTCCCATGTGGGGCTCAATCTCACAAACCCATGAGATCACCACTTGAGTTGAAATCAAGAGTTGGATGCCCAACCAACTGAGCCACCCAGGCGCCCCCAGAACATCTTCATTATCTCCCCAAAGAAAGCCTGTACCCATTAGAGTCATTCCCCCAGCTCTTGGAAACCACTAATCTATTTTGTGTCTCTATGGATTTGCCTATTCTGGACATTTCATGTAAATGGGATCATACAGTATGCAGCCTCTATGTCTGGTTTTTTTCACTTAGCATATTATTATTTTTAAAAAAATTTTTCAATGTTTATTTATTTTTGAGGGGGGAGGTGGGGCAGAGACAGGGAGGAAGACACAGAATCCAAAGCAGGCTCCAGGGTCTGAGCTGTCAGCACAGAGCCCGATGTGGGGCTTGAACTCACAAACTACGGGATCATGACGTGAGCCAAAGTTGGATGCTTAACCAACTGAGCCACCCAGGTGCCCCTTACTTAGCATATTATTTTTAAGGTTCATCCATGTTGTAGCATGTATCATTACTTTATTCCTTTCTCCTACCTTTCAAAAAATTTAAAAATTTTCTTACCTTTAAAAAATTTTAGCAAAATAAATGTAACATAAAATTTACCATTTTAACCACTTTTAAGTGTACTGTTCTGTGGCATTAAGTACATTTACACTGTTGTGTGACCATCACCACCATCTATCTGCAGAACTTTTTCATCTTCCCAAACTGAAACTCTGTACTTGTTAAATAATAAGTCTTCATCCCTTGGTAATCACTATTCTACTTGCTGTCTCTATGAATTTGACTACTCTAGGTACCTTATATAAGTGGAGTCAATACAATAGTTGTCCTTTTGTGTCTGGCTTCTTTCACTTAGCATATTGCCTTCAAAGTTCATCCATGTGGTAGTAGGTATCAGGATTTCCTTCCCTTTTAAGGCTGAATAATAGTCTACCATAGAATAGATCACATTTTGGGGCACCTGGGTGGCTCAGTCAGTTAAGCATATGACTTTGGCTCAGGTCATGATCTCACGGTTTGTGGGTTTGAGTCCCACACCGGACTCTGTGCTGACAGCTCAGAGCCTGGAGCCTACTTAGGATTCTATGTCTCCCTCTCTCCCTGCTCCTCTCCCCACTCATGCTCTGTCTCTCTCTCTCAAAAATAAATAAACATTGAAAATAAGTTAAAAAAAAAAAGAATAGACCACATTTTGTTTATCTATTCATTAGTTAATGGATATTTGGGTATTTACACTCTGACTATTAGGAATAATACTGCTATTAACATTCACGTACACATTTTGGCATGACTGTATGCTTTCAGTTCTCTTGGGTGGTAGAGACAGGTGGGGCTCAGAGAGGAATCTGATGAGTAGTAAACACTGCTTAGAGATTGATCATGACCCAGGGAAGGACAATGACCACTGGGACTCTGTGTCTCCCTTGAGGAAAGGGTGAGAAAGTTTTCAGTTGTGTAAATAATAGTGGTACCCTGTTAAATAAAAGCATAAAGTTGTTACAGCTTTCCTTTGGAAATTTAAATAGAGGCAGAAGGGTGTAGATGGATGCTAAGCAGCTCAATGGATGAACCGTGCTGGTTACTAAGTAGTCGTCTCATATCCCAACTCACCTTTCTGAATGCTGTTTTGTGAGAGATGGAACCCTACTTCATGAATGTAGAACCCTAACCGATTCACACAGATGGTACCAGTTAAATTTCTCAGGCAATAAGTGTTCAGTTATGTTTATGTTCAAACTGAATTCTTTGGGCTCTATGATAATGTGACATAACATAACATTGAAGTAACTATATTTTGAATGGTTACCCATTTTCCAAGCAGAGCTCTTCTTTCTTCAAATACCTGCAATAAATAAAAAAGAATGGAATGGTTTTATATTTCATGGTTCAAAATACCCATTGTAAGAAAGACATCATTAAAGTATCAATAAATAAAAATTGACAGTCTTTTGACTGTACCAACTGAGTATAAAAAGACAGATTTCATTCCTGAGACGGTACTTTACTTATTTTTAACTTGGGGAAGGTATCATTTTTTTCAGTTTATCCATGGGGAATAATTCATCTTAAAGAAAAAGTAATCCTTTTTTTAAAGGCAAGAAATAAGAAAAGAATGGAATTGTAAAGTGAAATCAATTTTAGAATTTGAAAAGAGATGAAAGGCCTGATAAAGGAAAAACAGGAAAGTGGAGATCCTCCCCCAAATATCAACCGTACGAGAACCTGTGAAATTTATGAATGAGCAGCTCTGTTTTTATATCTTGGTATGAACACCCCTCAGTGGGTGTACCTGCACTGAAATGTCTGTGGGCTTAGAAATGTGTTTATGCACACCTCTGGACATACAAGTCAGTGTTTATCTGTATAGGTTTGTTATTATAGACTATTTAGGACAGAAACCACGTCTGATCCATTTTTTACATTTCCAGTATAGAGTGCAAAGCATATTACAGATACTCAGATACTTGTGTTTGCTGGATAATGAATATCCTTATGGATGTATCAGTGCAATGTGGATGGATTTATATATTAGCGCAGAGGTGTTTTTCTGAGCATCAGTCATGTGTGTATTGTTTTTTTAAAATTTAATCAGGGGCGCCTGGGTGGCGCAGTCGGTTAAGCGTCCGACTTCAGCCAGGTCACGATCTCGCGGTCCGTGAGTTCGAGCCCTGCGTCAGGCTCTGGGCTGATGGCTCAGAGCCTGGAGCCTGTTTCCGATTCTGTGTCTCCCTCTCTCTCTGCCCCTCCCCCGTTCATGCTCTGTCTCTCTCTGTCCCAAAAATAAATAAACGTTGAAAAAAAAAATTTAAAATTTAATCAATTTATTTAAATTCAAATGAGTTAACATACAGTGTAGTATTGGTTTCAGGAGTCATGTGTGCATTAGAATGAATGAGGGAAGGAGACTGATGTGAGAATGTGTGGCAGAGGAGGGTGTTATGGAGACAGGAAGCAAGGGAGAGTCATGAGCAGACATGAATGTCTCTCTCACTCCTACACACACCCCCACTGGCAGCTTTCAAAATTGGGATTGATGTTTCTCCCTTCCTCTTAGCACTGCCTAGATTTTCCAGCCCTGTAAGAATGTTCCCCCTTGGAGAGAAGCTAAGGCCTATTTCTTCCCTTTTTGCGGAGGAGGGTGAGGAGCTGGTTTTATGTTCTAACAGATCATGCTTTCCTTCCTTTTTTAGACTCTCAAACTCTAGTTTCAAAGGGCATAGGAAAATAAGAATTGAAATAATCGGTCCAACAGCAACCTCATGGCCTGTGAAACATTGGTTTTGCTCCTGGCCAGAAGATCTCACACATCGCAGGTAAACACTTTTCGCACATTAAAGAAGAAGAAAAAGAATGCCCTTCTCCCCTTCCCCCTGTTAACTGTCACCTGGGCTATTAGGACTCTCAAATAATGGCAACAGATAAACTCAGGATTTCTAGATGAAAACAGAAGAGAACCTATAGAATACAGAAGATTTAAAAATCTGGATTCGGGGCGCCTGGGTGGCTCAGTCGGTTGGGCGGCCGACTTCGGCTCAGGTCATGATCTCACGGTCTGTGATTTCGAGCCCCACGTCGGGCTCTGTGCTGACAGCTCAGAGCCTGGAGCCTGTTTCAGATTCTGTGTCTCCCTCTCTCTCTGACCTTCCCCCATTCATGCTCTGTCTCTCTCTGTCACAAAAATGAATAAACGTTAAAAAAAAAAATTAAAATCTGGATTCAAATATTTCCTGGACTCTCGCCCTCTATCTAACCAAAGCCTGTCAATCATCTTTCGCCCAATCCAAGTCACCAGCACCAGCACTTCTCTGATATCTAGGGATCTGGCTCCTCTCAACTCATATTCCACTTACAGCCCACACTCCACTTGGGGTTTATAGGGTTTGCTATGGCTGTCTAGTTGCTTCCAGTCATTTTATGTTCCCATGTGGATTACAGATTTCTCTATAATCTGTATGGGTTGCATGGCAGGCCCTCAACGAGCATCTGCTGATTGAACAACAATAAAAAAGCTTCAAAAGTCATAGAATTTTAGAGCTAAAAGGAATCCCTAAGAGCTTTTCATTTCCTTATGTTAGAGAGGACAAGCAGAGGCCTGAAGGATTACATTTATAATTTTTTAAGAATCACTCGTTCCAGTCTGTCTGTTCAGCTCAACTCTGTACTGGGTTCCTCACTAAACCTTGGTCTCCCCTGTCCTGACTCCCAGTCCTATTTTCACAATGAACTGCTGCCCATACTTGGGCCTTACAGTGGGAATAAGAAAAGGTTAGATTCCAAGACCACAACCTCCTTTCAAAAGGAGGATGAGATGACCATCATGGTGCCCAATGACAATACGGGGCATTTGGAAACAAAGGGGCACTGACTTGAAGGGGAGAGAAGAGTCAGCAAGAAGGTAGGAGGAAAGGAATGGGGTGGGAGGTGGGGAGTGTCACTCAGGCTAAAACAATAGTCTTTAGAGGGCCAATGACCAAGTCTAAGCGGGTCCAAGCAAATCCAGTTCCTACCAAAGGCATCTAGACCCAAGTAGAAACTGATGGGAATGAGTGGGGAGAGGAAAACCACTAGACAAGCTCAGATATGGTTCTTGTTCTACCCTTGCAAGAAATATAATTTGGGACATGCTATTTGTCAGGTCCTCGGTCAGACTCAGAATCTTATACTCTCTGGTTTGGAGCAAGTCTTCATTCCCAAGATTTGCAATCAGGTTCATCGTCTTAAAGAGCTGGAAAACAAAGTATTGACTCAAAATAGAAATATTAAAATGGATCTTCTTTCCTCGCAGTACACTGCAGTCTGTTTATATCACAGTTTACTCAGAGCCTGCTGTTAAGTCAAAATCCTACGGTTGTATTTTAGTCTGTTGACACTGAAGTTACATATTTCACCATGTGACATCATTACAGTGTAGGAGTAAGACATTTAGGGGCTCCTAAATTATGACTGATTGATGGCAACTAGGTGTTTTTCTCAGAACACCCTTTTAACATGTACTGTACTACATTTGTAAACCGTACTTGAAAAGAAATGTTGGTTACTTTCAATTAAAACGCTAGATGGTGGAGCGCCTGGGTAGCTCAGTCTGTTAAGCATCTGACTCTTGGTTTCAGCTTTGCCTCGTATTGGGCTCTGCACAGACAGTGCAGAACCTGTTTGGCATTCTCTCTCTCCTCTCTATCTCTGCCCCTCCCCTGGCTTGCACTCTCTCTCTCTCTCTCTCAAAAATAAATTAAATGAACTTAAAAAAAAAAAAGAAAATTAAAAAAAAAACACTAGATGGCAAAGAAATGTGTATGTTTAAAACATTCTTCCTCTAGGGGCGCCTGGGTGGCGCAGTCGGTTAACGTCCGACTTCAGCCAGGTCACGATCTCGCGGTCCGGGAGTTCGAGCCCCGCGTCGGGCTCTGGGCTGATGGCTCAGAGCCTGGAGCCTGTTTCTGATTCTGTGTCTCCCTCTCTCTCTCTGCCCCTCCACTGTTCATGCTCTGTCTCTCTCTGTCCCAAAAATAAATAAACGTTGAAAAAAAAATTTTTTTTTTAAAAAACCTTATTAAGATATCACTTCTTTAAAAAAAAAAAAAGGAAAAAAAATTCTTCCTCTCAAAAATCATAATGCCTAAATTAATTTGAAATCTGTTACATTTGCCTATGCTGATCATGCTATTTTTTAGACACCCAAATTTGAATTCAATCTCTCTGCTTAAAGTCTGCTGTGAAGTTAAAATCCCGTGACCCAATGAGCACCAAGTGTTGTATGGAAGTGTTGAATCACTATATTGTACCCCTGAAACTAATATTACACTGTATGTTAACTAACCGGAATTTAAATAAAAACTTTAAAAAAAGTCTATGATCCTGTTTCAGTCTGAAATGGTTATGTCTTTTACATTTTACTACAGAATTGAAGAAAGACAAAATTAAAACAAAAACAGAAAACAGGACCTCAAAATTACAGTGGTCATTGATGACAAATGCCCTGTTTTAGAAGTGTAGAGGGGCACCTGGATGGCTCAGTGGGTTAAGCGTCTGATTTTTGGTTTTGGCTCAGGTCATGAACTCATGGTTTGTGGGATCAAGCCCGGTGCTGGGCTCTGCACTGACAGCGTAGAGCCTGCTTGGGTTTCTCTCTCTCCCTTTCTCTCTCTGCCCCTCCCCTGCTCATGCTTTCTCCATCTCTCAAAATAAATAAAGATTAAAAAAAAAAAAAAAAGAAGAATTTCTTTCCTTGAAATTATTGTGTGGACACCTTCTGGCCAGCTGTATCCTTGGTATCTGTTTTTTAATACCTTTTGCACAGTTAGAATGTTAGATCTGGAAGCAACCTCCAAGGTAATCTGGTCGAACATACTCATTTTATTTTTTTTGAACATACTCATTTTATAAAGGATGATGGTAAAACCCAGAGAAAGTAAGTGACTTATTCAAGTCATGCAGGAAATTATCGGTGATCTGAAACCAGAATTTCCAATTCACAGAGTTACTGTTCTTTATTTTTATTTACATAATTTTAAAATTGTTTTAAGATTTGTAATTTTATTGCACTATGTAAAGCAAAAAATGAAAGCTTTCATTTTACAGGACCACCTCCCCCAGTGCCATCCACCTCTTTGGGGGAAACGACTATTAATAGTTTGGTATACCCATATACAAATTTTATGTGTGTGTCTATGCACATTTATATAAATAGATACATATGTGTATATACACATGCAAAGATTTAAAAAAATAATTTTACTCCAAACTAAAATCTAAACCGAAAAGTAATTTGTGGTAAAAAATGAGAGCTGTAAAGAACAAAATAAATATTATCTCTAGAAATTATCATTTCTAGACAAAAGCTTTTCAAAGATCAAGATAAGACAATGTAATGCTTGCTGTGATGTACTGCCTTGGGTTTATTCCACCTGTTGGGGAGTGCTGCTGGCTGTTAACCGTGAGGTTGAGAGCTCTGCTTTGTCCAAGGTCAGGCTCTTCCATGGGGCAGCTAGCATCTACTGAATGGTCGGTGTAGAAGTGTATGTATGTGATTTCTACACCCAGTGTGGGACTCCAACTCATGACCCTAAGATCAAGGGTAGGATGCTCCACTGACTGAGCCAGCTAGGCACTCCAGTATGGAAGTACAAAGGCTGGTGGCTACAGTGCCAGGCCTCAAACTTGCGACCTTCTCTCCCTTCTCCTCCCTTTCCCCCCTCACCTACCTCTACTCCTTTCCCTTCCTTAGTGCTGATCCAGAAAGCCTTCCACAGTGGATGCTCTATATGCTATACCAGAGTCTGCTTCTCTAGTAAACCAACCTGCAACAGGCAATCAGGCAACTAAGATACTTTTTTTCTCCATAGCTGCTAAATCGATCAAGACTTCCTTCCAATTTTTCAAAGAAAATTTCTGAAAATCAAGGCATCCAACAAATATGTATTTCAATTCAAGTCACTTTTTCACATATGTGTAAAATCTTCACAATTCTATGTGGAAACAGATTTCAAATCTAAACATTGAACTTTTAGGGGGGGAAGCAGAGAAGCTGTTATATAAACTGTTGGAAAGTTAAGAACATTTACAAACAGGTGCTCAATAAACAGTTGTTGAGCTGAATAAAAAATGCTCCCAATAGACTTGTGTTCATGGCCAGATGAAGGCTGGATTTCTCTCTCTCATTCTCTGCCTTCCTTTTGTTTCTCCTGGTCCCTCCTTTTATTCTATGTCTCATTCTTCTTTCCTCACTTTTTTAAAAATCTTTTTCCTTTTCAGTCTCTCTCCCTTTTATTTCTCACTGTTCTGATTGCTGTGCTGGCTGCTTATCTGTCTCCCAAAGTCACTCAGGTTTCACACCAGAAGAGTAGAAACAGGAAAGTAGTGAACAGGAGGGGTCAGGACTGAAGCTCTTGCTTTGCCAGAGTGATTAGCACATCAGTTAGGTTTAGAGGGCAAGGGTCAAATCCAGACTAAGAAAGGAGGGATTTAGGGACTAGAAGGCAAGAGAGTCAGTTGAAGGAGGTCCCAGGGAGGATGGCTGAATTCTGACTCCATCTTTTGTGCTTCAGGAATGTTATCAGGCACTGGAAATACAGAGAGAAAAGACAGAATCTCAACTCAACACATTGCAGTTGAGTGGGAAAGTTGGTAAACAGTGATGAGAGCAAAGAAAAGCAAGCAGGAGAAGGCTTTCCAGAGAAAATCGTATTGGAGTTAGTGCTTAGAGGGGGCAACAATGGCTCATCTGGAGGCTACTTAGTTAGCCTGGACATAGGATGGGAGGAAGCAGTGGCAGGGGTAGGAACTGAGAGGTTGGTTGAGGTCAACTTAAGAAAGATCCTCAATGCTATGTGTAGGGGTTTGGAATTTACTCTTTGGAGCAGGGTGTGTTATCAGTTTTACATAATAGGATTAGCTTGGTATTTTACTTTAAAATTTTATTTATGTTTATTTTAATTTTTTTAGTTTGGTATTTTAGAAAAATCATCCTGGGACCAGTGCAGAAGATGGACTGGTAGGACTAGAGGGAGTGAAGCCAGTTAGGGGTTACAGCACTGCATCAGGCAAAGGGTGATGAGAGTGTGAACTGACAAGGTGAAGCTGGAGGCATATAGATGAATAATGGAGAGAGGCCTGGATGAAAAGGAAGTCTCCTAGAACTTGAAAATGAATTGGATATGGAAATGAGGGGGTGCTGGAAGACATACCTCCCTGGGCCTCCCTCTCATACTCCTAAATGTGTTGGAATACTGAGAGCCATTGCTCTTTCCTTGGGCCATTTCTCCAAGTTATGCTTGGAGCAAGGCAACTTTGAGTAATGAGGTACTGTCTCCTTTTGGGACCAAGAGCAGACTTGCTTACTGCTTACTACAAAAGCAATGGATTCCTTCCAAACTAGTACAGCCACTCTGAAAAACAGTATAGAGGTTCCTCAAAAAATTAAAAACAGAACTACCCTCTGACCTAGCAACTGCACTACTAGGTATTTATCTAAAGGATACAAAAATGCTGATTAAAAGGGGCACATGACCCCAATGTTTATAGCAGTGCTATCGATGATAGCCAAAGTATGGAAAGAGCCCAAATGTCCATTGACTGATAAATGAATAAAGAAGATGTGGTATATACATATACAACAGAATATTACTTGGTGATCAAAAAGAATGAAATCTTTCCATTTGCAACAATATAGATGGAATGAGAGTGTATTATGCTAAGCGAGATAAGTCAGTCAGAGAAAGACAAATATCATATGATTTCACTCATATAAGGAATGTAAGAAACAAAACAGATGAACATAAGGGAAGGGAAGCAAAAATAAGACAAAAACAGGGAGACAACCCATAAGAGACTCTTAAATACAGAGAACAAACTAAGGGTTGCTGGTGGGGTGTTGGGTGGGGGGATGGGCTAAATGGGTGATGGGCATTAAGGAGGGCACTTGGGATGAGCACTGGGTGTTATATGTAAGTGATGAATCACTAAATTCTATTCCTGAAATCATTATTACACTATATGTTAACTAACTTGGATCAAAAAAAAAGAAAGAAAGAAAAGCAGTGGGTTTACTGTTCCTCAGTAAGGGTTTGTGCTACAAATCCATGGTGTGTAGTATTTTTCTGGGCCTTCTATAGCATTCTTGTGGGACAAGGTGGGCAAGAAATAATGCAAACATGATGCTATAGCTGCTTGCTGCACTGTGAGTAACGAAGTTCTTTGTCTCTCCAAGAATCTTGTGTTTTACTATGAAACAGTAATGTCTTCTATGCCATCAATAACAGGCTAAGTTATGAGCTTGTAAATTGGAGAAAACCAACCCAGAGCTGGCAGGGAGAAGGATGATTTCTGGCTCGAGTGACTTGGTGTAAAGTGATGCCTTTTACCAGGAGGAGGAACTCGTGTGTAGGAGCAAGATAATGAAGTCAGTTTTATTGATGTTGATTGTATTTTACTGCCAACGAGGTGTGGTCCTTGGAATAGGTATTGATAATAGGAGCTCACAGGCCTGTTGGTAAATTCTGCCTCCAACTGAAGCAGGAATGGAAATCCCCAGAGGCTGGCCAATCTCACACCCCAGCATGATACTCAGCTTCCCATCTCTGCAATCCTTTGGTGTATTCTACTCGTGCTTCCCCAGAATGCAGGTAAGAAAGAAACTTTTTAGGAGAAGCCTAGTAATGTGAGTCATCAGTTGAGATTTACTCATTTTATTTATTTGGTTAAATGTCCACCATTATCCAGTAACCGCAACTATAACAAGAAAATCTTTTTGGGGAACTCCTCACAGAGTACCCTCTTCTCTCTCATTCCTGGCTATTCCAGCAGAGAACCAGTGATGGGAGAAAAAAGGCACTTGGGATGAGAGAGAGAGGAGCAGCGACAGTAGAGGAAAGAGCAAATCTAAGACATTTTCATCATGGGCAAAGATTCTGTCTACAACCAGCTTTGCCCATATAGCAAGAGCTCAATAAAAGCTTTTGGAAAAAAATCCTACATCTGTCTTTTATTTTAACCCATTACACAATCCTAAACAATTCCTGCTCATATTTTGATAACTAACATTTTAATATTTTAATACTCCCCCCCCCCCCCCCCGCCTTAAGGCATGGATTCATTGATAAAATAGCTCTGGTCACTTACCCGGTCATTCAAAAGCTGATGGTTTAGGGGTGTCCAGGTACTCATCTTTGTCTGCATTTTGGGGCCATCTATGCTTTTTGGAGGTGCAAATGCCATCATGAAATAACTGAATACTTTCCATAAGAAAAACCATACCTATCAGAAGAAATGAATCATATAATCTTCAGAATATGAAAAATACTAATACCATACCATCTTTTAGTATGTTGAAAGAGGAAAATGGGGGGAAGAACATTTACTGGGATCATTTTACATGTCAAGCACTTTACATGCATGCTTAATTAAAGCTCACAACAATCTGGTGAGGTTGTAGATTTTAGCCCATTTTACACATGAAGAAAATGAGGCTCACCGAAGTTACACACCCTGCCAAAGTTTACAGAAGCAGGAACTGCTGGAACTAGAAATCAGATCAGGTCTGTTTAAAATCATTCCCAGGTAAAAATATACCCCATTTGCCAGAAAGAAATATTTTAACTTATAAAACCATAGTGCAGTATAAAGCACTCCATCTTTACCCCTGTGTCTTTCTTCCTCTCCTCCTTCTGACCTCTAAGTAACAAGGGTTCTAGCTTGACACCATATTTAAGAAGTAGAATGGTGTAAGGGCACCTAGGTGGTGCAGTCAGTTAAGTGTCCGACTCTTGCTTTTGGCTCAGGTCATGATCCCAGGGTTGTGGGATCAAGCCCTGTGTCAGGTTCTGCGCTGAGTGTGGAGCCTGCTTGGGATTCTCTCTCTCTGCCCCTCCCTGCTTATGTGCACTTTCTCTCCCTCTCTCTCTCAAAATAAATAAATTTAAAAAAAAAGTAGAATGGTATAATGGACAAAGCCAAGCCTTTAGAGATGGACAGATTTGGGTTGGAAAATGTGCTATTTTTAGATGTCCACTATATGTCTGCCTTCATTTGATTAAAACCCTTTAGGGGTGCCTGGGTGGCTCGGTTGGTTAAGTGTCCAGCTTCGGCTCAGGTCATGATCTCACGGTTTGTGAGTTTGAGCCCCATGTTGGGCTCCGTGCTGACAGCTCGGAGCCTGGAGCCTGTTTCGGATTCTGTGTCTCCCTCTCTCTCTGCTCCTCCCCTGCTCGTGCTCTGTCTCTCTCAAAAATAAATAAACATTAAAAAAATTAAAAAAGAAAACAAACCCTTTAATTTCCATGAAGAATTACTTTCTTCTCATTGTTTAGAGTCTGCTGGGTTGGTTCATCAAGGTGGCTTCCCCTTTCCCAGGCAAGATGGGGTCATAAGACCAAGCTAGGCCAGCTGGACTGGTGCTAGTTCATCCTTACCTAACAACTGAAGGGTTGTTCACAATAGCACTGATGTTCTGTTAATTTGCTCCCACTGCCTCACCCCTCAGAAGCCCCCTGTCTTTTCTTGTCCATTTTGTGAGCCACCTGATATTCTTGCAATAAATTTCCTCTTTCACTTATTTGCTTCATTGAAAATATTACATTTGGGGCGCCTGGGTGGCGCAGTCGGTTGAGCGTCCGACTTCAGCCAGGTCACGATCTCGTGGTCCGTGAGTTCAAGCCCCGCGTCAGGCTCTGGGCTGATGGCTCAGAGCCTGGAGCCTGTTTCGGATTCTGTGTCTCCCTCTCTCTCTGCCCCTCCCCCGTTCATGCTCTGTCTCTCTGTGTCCCAAAAATAAATAAATGTTGAAAAAAAAATTAAAAAAAAGAAAATATTACATTTGCTTACATTAAAAAATTACAAAACTTTTTACCTCATACAAGTTTGATCCTGGCTCTAAAACCTACTAGCTGTATAACTTTTTACAAGTTATTCGATCTATCTGAGCATGTCATAAAAATGTTTATTTATTTATTTTGAGAGACAGAGAGAGAAGGGTAGGGGCAGAGAGAGGGAGAGAGAGGATCCCAAGCAGGGTCTGCACTGTCAGTGCAGAGCCCAACTTGGGGTGTGAACTCATGAACCATGAGATCATGACTTGAGCAGATATTAAGAGTTGGATGCTTAACTGCATGAGCCACACAGGGACCCCCAATCTATGTGAGCATTTAATCTATCTGCATCTACCATCAACCACTGTTTTGAAGATTAAACTGGTCCAGCAGAGTGTCTGACAGATGAGCGGTCTCAAGAAGTGGTAGCTTCCTTGCAACCTTTCTTAGAACTTCCTGTCATTTACAGAGTGTCTCGAAACCCATTAGAGAGCCATAGCAAAATATTTTAAGGTGGAAACCATTTGAAGCAGACTGATGGTAGTTTCAATATATATCCTCAGTGTTTCTGTTTGCTTCTGCCTTCCTTGTTCTTTAAAGATGGGTTGCATATTAAAAAGCAGTAGTGACCGAGGAAGCTAGGGCTTGCGTGCCTGATTTATGGGCTCCAAAAATTATTCTACGGTAGCAAAGCCTGGACAATTTGGACAATTTAGAAAAAAAACATTACTTTTAGGCTGATATGGGGCTCCCCCAAATGCTAGATCTGAAATCTTTGAGGTTTTCACTCGACAGGTAATATTCTCTCTTAGGGTTGAGTTATAGCTGAAGAGAAAGCCAATATTTTAAAACCACAAGGTCATCATTACACAATTCCTTCTTGGCAGTAGCCTACTGCCACCATACCACTGATATAAAGAGGACCCAGATCAGCACTCACGTTCTTCCCTACCTCTAACAGCTAATTATCTGAGTCACACATGTTTAGCCAAATTGCAAAAGGTATAGGAAATTATTTCATTACAGTATTATTAATTGGCAGCTATAAAAGTACGTGAGTGGGCAAATTATAGATACAAAGCATGGTCTCAGAGCCTAGATCCGCCCAGTTAAAAATTACATATTTCTTTTTGTATTGTTCTTATTTATGTCTGACCTTTTTTCTCTTTAAACCAGTTGTTACTTTTTAATCTTTTTTTTTTTTGAGGGCCATAAAGATTTTTGAGAATATGATAACAGCTAGGAATCCTTTCTGTAGAAAAATGCACATGAATATAACATTTTGCTTACCCCAGGTGAAAAATTCCTGCGGTAAGCTGAGAACTTTCCAGTTTGTATAGGAAACAAGCTAGGTACAATTTCTGAATTAGGGCAAAGTAACTTCTCTTGGGCCTCCCTAAGGCCCTGCACTGGCTATTCTCTTTTTCCTGGTGCCTAACAGCTAGAAATTATTTAAATTAGCTTCTCTTCAATTAACTTGGCTTTAAGGAGATAGGTCTGGCCAGGAGAAACAGCCCTCTTGGTAATACAGTTCTGCTGAAGCATTCAAATGGGGTTGTCCTGCCCTTGCCTTCATCATTATCCTTTTGTGTTTTTTTCCTCCTCCTTCCATTCCAGATGGGCAGTATACATATCTGCATGCACACACATGTTCATGGTATAAACAGTACTATTACAAAGACAGACACTTGTATATAACATGCACAAGAAATAACTATCCCCACTCTTTCAGCAAGACAAAGCAAGTTGTCTTCCTCTCCTTACACATATAAAGCTTGCTGGTGTGTGTGTGTGTGTGTGTGTGTGTGTGTGTGTGTGTGTGTGTGACCTCTTTCCACCTTAATTGCTATCCTGGAATGTTGACCTTTAAGTTTTCTTTGATTAAAAAGGAAGACAGAGGGTCTTTGGCCCTAACTCCCGATGTGTGGTATGGTTCTAGTTCCATGTCCAACAGCAAGGATGGGTCCTCTGGTAAAGTTACAGTGGTCACAAATCTCCAATCCCATTTTCTGAGCCATTCTTCACACTGTCACCATTATTCAATTATACTAAGGACCTATTAGCCCTGAGTTAGGGGGTACAAAGATAAGAGTCTCTGCTTTAATATACCATGCAATCTACTGTCAGAAAGGGTTGCTTTTTTGTTTTATTTTTTACAAATAAAAATTGTATGTAATTAAGATGTACAACTTAATGTTTTCGTGTATGTATATCTTGTGAAATGATTACAAAGTATTATTCATCCATCATCTCCCATAGCTACCATTTGTGTGTGTGTGTGTGTGTGTGTGTGTGTGTGTGTGTGGTGAGAACACTTGAGATCTACTCAGTAGGTTTCAAGTATAAAACATTATTATTAATTATAGTCACCATGCTGGACATTAGATCTCCAGAACTTACTCATCTTATAACTGAAAGTTTGTACCCTTTGATCAATGTTTCCCCATTTTCCCCATCCCCCAGCCTCTGGTAACCACCATTCTACTAATGGAAGTATTTTTTGAAGGACCAGTTGATTGTGTCACTTTTCAACTCAAAAACCTTCAGAGGCTCTCTGAGGGCTACAGCATAACCAGACTCCTTAGCATGGAAGTCTAGGTCCATTAAGAATTTACCTCAATTGACCTTTTCAGTCTCATCTCCCAGCCCCTCACACCATGCACTATCCACCCAGACACACTGAACTTTGGTACAAAACAACTAGTACAAAATTCGGAGGCTTCTTGGCTCATGTCATTTTCTTACATTGCTCACCTGAATCTGAATCCCAGTACTACATAATTGGTACTCAAATATTTGTTAAATCAACTGAATGAATACAATAGTGGGGAAGCAGTTTAAAGACGAAAACTAATAGGAATGTAGGATAAAACTCAGAACATTATGAGTTGAGCACTGGAATTATACTCAAGGTTATCGGATTTTTATTTGGAATACACAGAGAATAAGATTGAGTTTCTCTGCCAACACACAACTCATTGTGCACTGCAGTATCATCAGAGGAGATCTCAGATAGTATCAGGAAATTATCAGGCAACAAGGTATAGTCAGATTTAAATACGAATTCATCTTTCATTCAACTGGGTAGAGACAGAGCAAAAACTATACTGCAATACAAAGAGCGAGTGTTTGCTAGGTATAGAAATAATTAATTGTTGTTGTTAATTTCGCAAGTACGAGGCATCTGGTACTTTAACTGCAGCTGAAACGGAGCGAAATGTAATCCCCAGGAACACTAACAAGGCTTGCGAGAGGCCCAGGAGGATCTTAGAATGGAGCTCTCAAAAAAGTCTCCATCTTTTTCATGCACTGCCCACTGCTCTCACCTCTTTAGCTCATCTCCTTCTTCAAGCCTCAAGCTCTGGTGTTGCCATGGCAGCTTTTCCTTTGACTCTGTCCAGCCCCCACCCTTCTTTCCAGTCAGTAGTCCAATCACCATCTATAAACCCTTTCGCTGGCATCCGGGGTCTCTTAGGCAACAATGTGTGGTCTCTTGATTGGCCAAGAGATTCAGAAGGGCTGGCTCCAAAATTGGGCACACGGATAAAATTAAAAAGCAAGAGCGCAAGAGGTTGGGAGGGGCTGCAATCTCCCAATATAATGCTGGGAGGAAACTGCATCTGATCCTGAAACAAACAGAATTGACAAGCACTCAAGACATATTTGTGTTCCAAATCAGGACAACCAACTGAGCATGCCCAATTATATTTCTCTGGTCATTCCGAGGCTCCGAAATGCAAACTCCACTTTTCCAGGTTTTAAGAGTGGCCAACAGGTAAAAGAGGGTAGGAGGAAAAAGAATTCGCGACTGGTTCAATTAAAGAAAAGCACCTGCAAAAGCAAGTGGGAGGACACGGGGAAATTGCCCAACACACAAATTCACAAATGCTTCATCCTGAATTTCAAGAGGAATTCATGCTGACTGACAGATACACCGGAGAACCAGCAGATGGCATGGCTTAATAAGAATAACTCCAAATTTAGAAAATTTTACAATCCAGTCTAATTAAATTTATTGAGTACCCACCACGTAATAAAGGGCAGGGTGAGAACACAAGGATAAAAAAATGAGGAAGACTGAAAGATGCAATGTGTAAATACCTAATATAAGGCCCCCACTTATAACTGTTGTGATAGAACTTATAAACAAGTGCTAGAAAACAACCAAAAATTCAAAATTTCAGAAGGAGCTCCATGATAAATATAAAGCAGTTCCTATGGGCAGCAAGCAAAAACAACAACCAAAAAAACCCCCAAAACAAACACAAAATAAAAAAACCCCCAAAACTTCACTACCTTACATTCCTAAAATAGATAAGAATATATTCTCCTCCAACTTAAATGTAAACCTATGTTTGTATTGTGTTTTGTAGTTTTGAAATCGGCAACATTTGCATACCTCCAGCTTAGGAGAGTGAAGCTCATAGAGATTGTTGCTTTCCTTGACTTAACAAAGGGTCTGTGAGTGGCCAAACTGAAATTAGAACCCAGGTTGTTTGAATTCCAGCCTTGTGGTTTTTCCACATGATCAGGTTGTATATAAATGAGTAAACAAAGCCTTTGGTGGGGGGTGGAGACCTCGGGGGAGGCAGTAGACGCAATACTAAATTACCATGTGCAGCATTGCCAGTTAACATTTATGGTTTCAAAACGGGTTCATCAAGAGACCAGTTTTAACAACATTCCGTTTGAGTGCTATGTCTCTCTGCGAAGTTCTCACTCATTAAAGACTTTCTATTGGTGGTTAGAACATGGAATGAAAGAGAGATGGGATAAAAGAAACCATCTCATGTTACCCCTGTTTAATTTGAATAATCTTATATGTGAAAATAAGCTCCCTTTTGACCATCCTCTCAACCAGCACTCTCTAGGCTTCCTCTTGTCTGGCACCTTATCATCTAACTGAAGACACTCCTTACCTTCTGTTCTGAATGACAACATTCAGGCTATATTCACAGTGAGCACATCAGTTCAATGTCTGAAATACTTCAACATTACTTCAAACATAAAGAAAAATGTAGAGACTACATAGAAACACCCTTGTATCCCCACCAAAAATTTAAAAAACATTAACATTTTCGTTTCATGTGTGTGATTAACTGTTGAAGCCCCCTTTTGTACATTTTCCAGATCTTATTTCCCTCCCCGCTTGCCTAGAGGCAACCACCATCTATGAAATTGGTGTGTAGCCTCCTTTTCCAGTTTTTATGCTTTTTATAGATGCATGTTTGATCTCAAACAATATGGCTGTTTTTAAAGCGATACCATAATTTACATATCTTGTAGTTCACTTTTTTCAATGTTATATTTCTGAGATTTAATCATGTTGACACACGCAGTGATAATTTCTACATCACTCTCACTTCCCATGTGAGCTATGATATGTCCTATGCCTCACAGTTTTCACAGGATGGTGTGTAAACTGCATAAAAGTACATCTAGCTGCACATCTTCAGAGGTTCTGCAGGGACAAGGGATGTGGAAGTGCATACCGCATACAGATTTTCACATACACTATTTGCCTCCTCACTCCTCCTCAGTAGAGCCAGTGTTGGCTCAACAGGACACACTGTCTTGCTTAGAATCAGCCTGAGGATCAGTATTACTTTAAAAAACAAACAAAAAACCAAAACTGTTACTGCACAAGTATTTACTATGAAAATTGAAAATGTTGCTTCATATATTAATTTTTGCTTTTCCCCATAGCTCACCTTCTGATGTTAAACTATATTTATGGCTGCCTAAGCTCAATACTCATTACTTATTTAACTTATTCAGTGCCTTTTAAAAACTGTGATAAAATACACTTAACACAAATTTACCATTTTAGCCATTGTTTAAATGTACAGTTGAGTAGTGGCAAGTACATTCACATTGTGCAACAGGATCAATATACTTTAAGTTCCATGGCTATCAACAGAACAAGATGATGCCTATTAAGTCTAGCTTGAAAAGGGACAAAAAGGAAAACAGTATAGTAAAAAAAGAACTGCCTGGCCTTGAATGAATCCAGACTTTTTCTTAAAAAGCTGCGTGACTTTGGATGTCATTTAACCCTTCTGAGTGCTATTTTCCTCGTCTGAAAAATGAGAGGTTGAGTTTAGATGATCTTTAAGAACTCTTTCAGCTCTGAAATGGCTTATGTAGAAAAAGATGGGAAATGCTACCAATAACCACAATCTCCACCTGTGCACTAAGGTGCTGGCAAAGAGGATATAAACTGCCCCTAGGCAAGTATCTTGTCTGTTTAAGCGTGAAGCTCTGCAACAGGTCAGATGCCTACTCCTATCTGCACCCAGTGCCACCCTCAACACCTGTATTCCTACTCTTGACCACCTTCAACCCCGGATCCCTAGGTCAGCACCCTCGTTCGTAGAACAGGTTTTGGTGGTCTTGCAATAACAGAATCCCCAGTTTGGGTAAAGAGTCGCCACGCTTTTTCAGCGGGGGAGGGAGGGCTTTGCAAAGAGGGCTGAGCGCATTTCAGAGAAACGCTTCCAGAGCTCGAAACCACTCCGCCGGAGCGGGATAACTGGCGCAAGGCGTCACCCAAACACGAGGTAGAGACCGGCCGAAAGCTCCGAGCCGGCACCTCCAACTGGGTCTCAAAATGGGAGCGTGCGGCCGAGTGTGCGCAGCGCGCCTGCGCCGTGCGTGCGCGCGCGCGCTCGCTCCCTGGGCCGCGCGCTCCGGCGCTCCCGAAAGCTCGCGGTTGCTCCGAAGCGGCGCGCGCGTCGGCGGTCCTCGCTGGCTCCGTTTACCTGAGGGACCCGTGGCCGCCCCCGGCCGGCGCTACAGCCCCCTTGGAGCCCGGCCCCGAGATGTGAGGTGAGCGACGAGGCGAGCGGTTCCCCAGTCCCGCTTAGCTGGAAAAGGGCGCGGGGAGTGTGGGAAATGAGGAGGTGCCGCCGCGGCTGCCCGCTCCTCTGCCTAACCCTGTGCTGAGGAGCCACCAGCAGCTCCGGCACCTCCTCCTCCTCAGGGATCGTTATTCTCGTCGCGGCCAAAACAAAAGCCTTCGGCGCCAGGCTGTGGCGGGGCGTCGGAGGGGCTCCTTGGGACCGACGGCGGGCCGAGGGGGTGCGGAGGAGCCGAGTTTGGGGTGAGGGCTGAGGTGGGCAGACGCCCGGGAGATTATTAACCCTCTGTGTCCTAAGCCCGCGCTGGGCAACCTGTGCGAGTGTGGACCGCGGCTCCCCTTCCGCCTCCCCCTTGCCCAAATCCTTGGTGGAGGAGGGCGTCCGCGATAGGCGCCCGCTCCCTGGCTCGGCGCCGCGGGGGCGTGTGGCGCTCCCGGCTCGCTGGAGCGTGGGTGGAGGACGCGGCGGCGGCCGGGGGGAGGACAATGCATCCAGGGCTCTGGCGCCCTGGGCGTCTGGGGCCGGCCGGAGACCCACGTTAGAATTGCTTCAGGTTTAGATGTTGTGTTGGCATTTGGCCGACCTCTTCTTTCCAGTGCCTAGAAGTTGTCCCCTCCATCCCATCAGTTTGCAAAGTCTGCGCTGCTTCCCCCAGCTGCCCTCTTTTATGCTAATGTGCATTTGCCGTGGGGGTACTGCTGGGTAATTAATAGACGGCCTCGCAAATAAAGGTGCTGTAAAAACGTTTCAAGACATTTTAACATCTTCCTAGAGGCTCGTTAAATCTCAGGAGACTTGGAGTTAGGCGGCTCCTCTCTAGGAGAAAGCTTTTCTTTTTTCTTTCTTTTCTTTCTTTCTTTCTTTCTTTCTTTCTTTTTTTTTTAAGAACAAAAGCGCATGCCATCAATTTAGGCACGGGAGAGATTTGAAGTTGAAAGTTATCTACTCAATAAAAGAAATCCAATTTTTTTGCCCTGTATTAAAATGAAAATTTTAATTTTGGTTCCCTAAATTTGGGCAGATGCAGCAGCAGAGCAGACTAACAGCTATAAAAAATAAAAGTATCTTAAAATCTTATTTCATAAAAGTAGCTTTGATAGACCTGTAATGTTTATTTATGGGAATTGGGTTACTTTGCAAAGCCAACACCACAAGAGCAAGGAAACAAAGACCTGACTGACATGAGGGATGTTACCTCCCTCTTCAGCCTCTTTTAGTCTTCAGTGGTGTGCTGACAGTCTAAGGAATAGACAAATCCTTAATTCTGTTATTAAGAAGAAAGATAATGCTTTCCATACATACTTTTAAGCAAATCAATACTATCTTTTTCCTCCGGGGGGGGGGGGAAACAAGGCATTTACGTGAACTACTAAGCCACAAGCTACCACAAAAAGGTAAAAAGATTCAGAATTAGGAAGTGTAGGAAAGAGGTGTGAAAGCTTAACTGGGCTGGCTTGGAAGGATGGAGCTCAAGATTTAATTAAGATGCAGCCCTTTTCTTACCCTGTTGCCTTTTATTTAGTGAAATAACATGTTCCTCCTCAGCCCCCCAAATGTTTTGAAACTATTAGGAGAGTAAGTAAATAATAAAACCTACCATCCTCCCTTTCCTTTCCTACTTTTTTTTTTAAATCTCATCCACTTACTAATATTCTCTACCTCTACACCTCTTCTAAATCTGTAAGAGTGTCCCATTAATAGAAGAAACGACTGTGAGCTCTATCATTCATTTCCCCATTTTAGCTGCTGTATTCCTTTGAGCTTTATTTTGTGCTTTGGGCA